TGATTCTTATATCTAGCTAAACCTAGTGAAGTATGGCAGGATACTCTTCATAAGAATCACCTATGTGAGTGTGAACTGGGCCGATTCTATAAGATTTAAGAAAAGGCTACAAGTCTTTAGAGCACTCATGAAAGACCAGGCTGTTCAGGGCCAAAATGAACACAATAGTGAGAACTAACCTGTGTCTGGGGATATGCTGTGTGAGTTCTATTGTCTTGGTTTGCACAAACGGCTGAACAGTTCAAGACATCATGTTCACTGGTTAGCTAGTAAATCCGATAGTGTCTCACAAGGGAATGTTCAAAGCCAAAAACTACCTATCCTTTGCAGAATATTTCCAATTTCTAAACTCTCTGATTAGATCATATTGTTGCATTTTCTCTCCGTCAAATTCCATTCATGTGGGGCATTGTTGGAAATGGTTTAATATCGGCATATTTTTTAGCCCAATTTGAGTGGGCCCCAAACGTCTTTTGGGGTGGGTCTGAAGAGGTGAAGTGTTCCTTGCCGCGTGACAAGTCATACAGTGAATACGGAACATCAAAACCATTTATGAGTGAACGGGAAGTTAACATCGTTTTCGGGTCTAACATTAAATTCATTTGAATTTTTCAATAAAAAATTATTGTGAGAATTTAATTTAATTCTAAATTCAAATTTTGGGTTCTTAAGTGGTTTCCTAAAGTTTGTAATTGTGTTAATTTAATTTAATTCTAAATTCAAATTGTGGTTTCCTAAAAAAAAAATGATTAAACTATTCAAAATAGTTTAATAAATCTATTCCAATAGTTTAATGTTATTTCACAACAGTTGCTTTGACTTTGGACCAACGGCACTTTTCAATTGTTTGAAATTTTGGTTTTTCCAACGATTAGAATTGTTTTGAAATTAAACTGTGGCATCTGTTCATTCTTTTTAAGAACCTGTTCAGACCACAAGTTTTGCCTATAAATAGAGCCTTATTCCAGCAGTCTTAAGATTTGAAAAAAACGAATTTCCTGTCCGGAAATATCAGTCTGTTTTTTTTGTCTCTTTGGTGTCCATTCTGCTCTACTGCATTTATTCTTCATTTATTAGTTTTAGAATAATATTAAGAGAGTATAGAACACAAGGTTTGGTTCGCCGTAAAAATTTGTGTGGAGTGCTACTACAAGTTTTTAAAGATCATTGTATCCTGGGAGATAGACGCCACTCAACCGTAAGCACAGTAGCGGGGCAAATCTGTCTTAATGACAGATTGTCACACACTCGACTTGGTCTTGTAATTTTTATTTGGTTCGACAAAATAAATCTGGTATGTTATTTATTTATTTTGTTTGAATTTATTTCTAGTTATTTTATTTACACAGAAGATTGTTCCTACACCACATGCTTCCCCACTTCGGCTTTCATCTCGACTTTCCTCCACCGTAGTCCGGTTCTCTCCGAAACCTTTGGTTGCCCTATCTCCACCCTTCTCTCCTACCTCTTCTGATTCACGTGGGCTTAATCTTGCTGTTGCTCTTACCTCTCCAGCTATTCCTCCTCCTGTTCCTCAGCGCACCCATCCGATGATTCTTCGCCGTATGACCTCCAAGTCAACTGCCTTGCTCATAGCCTCCTCTTTAGCCACCAATGATGATGTTGAGCTTAGCTATTTCACTATTGCCAATAAATTTCCTGTATGACATCAAGCCATGTTGGAGGAGATTAGTGCTCGTGTCCGTAATGGCACTTGGAGTGTTCATCCGCAACACCATGTCTGAATGTTGTGGGTTGTAAATGGGTTGGGTTGTAAATGGGTGTTTCGCATCAAATGTTGGGCTGACGGTACTGTTGAGCTCTACACTAGCGCCTTTGGTTGCCAAAGGTTTTCATCAAAAAGAGGGCTGGACTATTTTTAGACTTTCAGTCCTGTTGTAAAGCTCACTACTATATGTCTTGTTTTCTCTTTTGTTGTTTCTCACGGTTGGCTTGTTCGGCAACTCGACGTGCACAATGCCTTTCTTCGCAGCAATCTTCAAGAAGTATTTATGCATCAACCACCAGGCTTTGTTGACAAGGATAATCCCTCATTTGTGTGTAAGCTTCACAAATCTTTATATGGTTTGAAGAAGACACCTGAGTTCGAGAAATAAATTTCAAACAACTTAGCATTTAAAAAAATTTATTTCAAAATAACAGGGGTTTTGTACCCATGATGTCTTAGAGCAACTCCAACCACACTCTCTACTTTTCACTAATTAAAGTACAAAAAAAGTACACTCTTTGTTTTACCTAATTACTTTAGCTATTGTACTCTCCAACCACGCTCTTTATTTTAGCTAATCATTTAAACTAACTTAATTAATTTTTAAAATAAAAAAATACTAATTGTTGATATTTTACTAATATAAATTTGCAATAATAATAAATTTGCGGGAAAATTGGTCTAAGGTCCCTCTCCCACTTTTCATAATGGAAGAGATCCACAAAATTATTTTTTGATGTCTAAGGTCCCTAAACATATATCAGAGAAATTTGACTCTTTGTCTCTACTCTATTCTCTCTCTCTCTCTCTTCTTCTCTCACCCACTGTCTTCCAGATCCAAGGCAACAAACTTTGCTCCTCCACCCTCCTCTCCACCCTCCTCTACGACCTCTTCCTCAACACCTTCTCCTCCGACTCCTCCCTCCATTCCGCCACCGTCGCAGACCTCCGCGCCGCCCGGATCCACGACCCGCCCTCATAATAGGTCGCTACTATTCTCTAAACCTGAGATTCATGCATATATATATATATATATACGCATCTAGTTGAGTCTTGAGGTTGTAAAATTGAAGCGATAAAATATGCAGATCTGGTATTCTTCTTGGCTTCCAAGTTATTGAAGACAATTCCTCAGGTAGTGTTTATTAATCACTCGCTCAATTTTTTGATGATATACACTTAATTTATATATCTTATTGTAAGTATTTATAGTAGGTGCAAGTGTGTTAATGAATTTGAATTTTTGTTCAGGCCGCTGCGACGACTTGCTATGTTGTTACGCATCCGAGGCTTGAAAACGTTTCTGGAAAGTACTTGGCAGACTGCAACGAAGCTTCAACATGCAAATTAGGATCCAACTCTACCGAAGTTGCAAGGTTGTGGTCTGTCTTGGAGCTTATACCCCAAGAATTTCTCAAATTTCTCTGGATTCAACCCAGAGAAATTTGAATTTTCTCTGGATTCAACCCAGAGAAAATTCAAAGGATCAGACCAACATTCATGTTTATCCTGATTGGGCAGCCATGCAAGTTTTTCATTTGATGCATGCTCTTATGGAACACAAAAAATCAAGTTATCATGTTTCAATGAATTTTATGTTTAAGTAGTGATTCAAGATAGTTTGTTGCATCTTTAGGCATACTTTGGCGGCAGAGTGGCTGTATCACCGTATTTCAATTCAGCTATTGCATCTGGTCATACCCAGAGAAATTCTTTGGGTTGAGAGAATTTCTCTGGCTGGGAATTTTCTCTGGGTTGTGGAGTCCAAAGAAATTCTCTAGGTGGAGGAATCTCTAGAAATGTTTGTCTGAGAATTTCTTTGGGTTTGGGGAGTCTAGAGAAATTTTGAAATTTCTCATGTATCCAGGGAAATTTTGAAATTTCTCTGGTTCAACCTTTGGACAACAAAAGATGGCTCTGTTTCTCCGAAGCCAAGTTTTTTCCATGAGAATTACTGCAAAAAGCACAAAATCTGACTTGCTTGGAGGAGAAACTCCAAAAATCAAGGGTGGAGTAAGAATATGGTTGATCCAATCTGAGAATGATAGGTGGGAGAAATCATCTGTCCTAATACCCAACTTGGCAAACCAAATCATCTTGTTGGGTTTGCATAAGAAGAACAGATGGACTGTAGATTCAGGTTCCGCTCCGCAGAAGGGACATTCAGAGGAGTCTATTTGGATTTTTGCTGAGACTAACCTCCACAGGAAGATTTTCTGTCTCTCATGGATTGTGGTTTCTAGAACTGTACACCTCATTTTGGTTAGAATGATAGGTAAATTTTAGACCAAATTAAATTTCTCTGAATTAAATTTTCTCTGGTTTGGACCAAAGAATTTCTCTGGATTGAATTTTCTCTGGTTGAATTTTCTCTGATCGAATTTTCTCTGGATCGAATTTTCTCTGGATTGATGTTGAGGGACTTTAGACATCATGAAAATAGTTGATGTCCTTTATACTATAAAATCATAATATCAGGAACCTTAAAAAAAATACCCCTAAATTTGCCTATACAAACATACAAAACCTGTAGAATGAAGAGAACAAAAAATACAAAATACAAAATAAGTTATTCCGTAATTCATCAAACAGAATTGAAAGAACATATAAAATTGCTACATACACACACATATATATAATATATAAAATCTCAAATCCAAGACATAAATATACAAAAATCTAAAATATATACATACATAATTATTTGGAGAGCCTCTAGGACTCTTTAATTGTAGCCACCCAAAAAATAAGATGGTAAAATAGCTAGCCCAATAGCTAACCCATTGGGGCTCAATATTAGACTTACATTGGCTAAAATGCCTAACAAGCCTTGTTTAACTATCCCTTTAAAGATGCTATTAGAGGATAAAATTTGAAGATTTTTGCTCCATTATTGGGATTGGAAATTGGTGGTCACATCACAACAAATGTCTCTCTTTTTCTTCTTGTTCTCTTCGAATTGTATTTATTATTAGGGAATCAGTTCAGACTCCGCATTTCACATCACAGCAAAATATCTGACTTATTTGTTTTAACATGTTAAATTTAATATATTCGGTCATTTTCCATTCATATACAGCAATCTTAGCTCATAATCACTTTGATTGACCATAACAGTGAGAACAACAATCAATCATCCAATTTAAACACTAGAAGAAAGAAAATGCACCATCTCAATCTGACACCAGAATATAGAAAACCATGATCAAGCTCCCGGCTCACGATTTTAAGCATATGAAGCAAAATATGGAGTTATACTGGGAAAACGATATCAACGCATTTGACTTCAACCAAATAACTGGACAGTAATCCAATACTAACAAATCAAGCGGCGCATACAACCAAGTTCAACCAGAGGAACTCAAAAGAGACCAATTTGTTCCTCTCATGCAAACATTAATAATGTACAGGTGTAGTAGCTTCATAAAGCAATGTAGAAGATAAACACTAGCCATATTGTTGTACAGTTTTCCCCCTGGATCTTTATTGTTGCCCCAAAAAATAAAAATACAGATAGTACGTTTAGCACTCACAACCAGTTGACCTCTGCTGACTGCTGCTTGCAACATCAATGGTGTCCGGAAGATATCTTCATAGCGTAAGGGTTCCCATCGAAGCGAGAAGAATAGGAAATGGCGAAAATGGGGAGTTAGCAATCATTTGTGATGCAAAAAATGTATTTGGACCATGGATTTAGGTAGCCATTTGGAAAAAGAAGGGGAAAGGTCGGTGAAATGTAGCTATATTTCATTGACATTTTACTTACCTTTTTCCTTCCCTTTTCCAAATCCGTGATCCAAATACAGCCTAACATGAATAAGCTTTGTTCAAGTGGAATAACAACACATGCACCCACCAAATAATAAATTAAAGAAAATGATATGTAAACCGTGGAAATGCATAAGACAAGGTTTGCAAAACACTTCAAAAATATACATAGGTCAAAATGCATGCTACAAACTTGAACGTTAATTTTGGTGAATTGTATTGAGAACTTGAAATTTTTTGTCAATATAAAATGCTCTCACAATAATTTCAGCAAATGGATACACTATTTCATCAATGAAAATTATCAATCAAGGTGAGATCACCAAGAAAAGCCTATGTTTCATGGTATGAAGTACCCGTGTTGGACACTTGAGTAGGGGTACAAGATATGTGCCCAACATGTGTAGTTGTAAACATATTTAGTTATTCAACCATAAAATAAAACTATGCACAAAACTCCCACATTATACATGGCATGATCTCTGACACCTTGTGTACACTATTTTACCCTAGAAATTTATTATTAAGAAAGACGTGTGATGAGATGAATCATACACTTGGACACATACCCGAAGAGAATAACACACCCACTCACCAAACAAAAGAGAGTCCAAAATTTTCAGTCGGCTGATTTCTATGGAAATTTAAATTTAAAAAAAAAAAAAAAAAAAAAAAAAAAAAAAAAAAAATTTGTGCATCTCATATGTGTTTCTGCCTGCAGTGAATTAAAATGTTTTAATGCTTTACTGGACACAGTCAAGTGTCCTAATCTTTTTATGTTTCATCTACACTAAAAAATTTATAATGGGTTGCATGCAAAAAGCTACTTTTATTTTGCTGGGGAAGAAAAAAAAAAGTTACATCAATTTTTTTTTATTTACTCACATTTCTTCCTCTTCCCCACTCTTTAGGGCATTCTTTGCTATGCACTGGAAAGCTTCTTCAACATTGATGCCCTCCTTGGCTGAGGTCTCGAAGTATGGAATATTCCCTTTCGAGGCACACCATGCCCGAGCCTTTTTCTCAGAAACCTGTAGAAAATCATGAAAAGAAGGAGCTTCATATCTACATTGAGAGAAAATAATATCATTTTGGAAAAAACAAATGCTATAATTCAAATTGATACCAACCAGTCTACTACTTCCACCATCCACATCAATCTTGTTTCCTATAACAACAAATGGGAAATTTTCTGGATCCGAAGGGCTTGCCTGCATGACAGTTCTCAAACCATCAGCTTATATCCATGCTTTCATCTAACTCATAATGCTAGATTTTACAGAACCACAATGAAAAAGCTTTTTAATACATGCTAATAAATTAAGCTCAATACACCAATGCTGCAATATAGTGTATTGTTGTCCTTGTTAATAGAAATGAAAAGCCAAAAAGGAAACTCAAATGAACAAAGCATCAAAGTCAACAACTTAAAGTTGGCCTAAGCAGCATTCTCTTCTCTAATCAGCTCAGTATGCAGTCATGTTCTTGGTAAAGGGCGAATGAAAACAAGGGAGAAAAAGAATGAGATATTTATTTTTATACCACAAAAATATAGAATTTCAAACAAGACACAAAAAAAATTCCAAAAAGAAAATGAGAATTTTGATTTATTAGTTACTACTAAAGTCCCCAAAAAATCATGTAAAAATATCAAATATCCCCAATGAGTACAACATAAATCAATACCTGAATAAGGAATTCTTCCCTCCAATTGTTTAGATTGTCAAATGACTTCATTACATTTACATCATACACAAGAACACAACAATCAGCACCTCGGTAGAAAGCGACGCCTAGACTTTGAAATCTTTCCTGGCCAGCTGTATCCCATATCTGCCAAAGCAAAAGGTGAATACAATGTAGGTCGCAAATCAATCAGTTAACCACATGTTTAAGAAACCCAGTACATACACTAGAAATCTAATGATAGAAATGGCAAGGCAAAAGAACTTGGCTGTAAACATGAAAGCAGAATAATGAATAGCATTGGGGCACTTTAGAACAAACTAGAAGTAATAATTTGATAAACAAGAGAGACTCTGCTTTTGCCATACAACAGAAAAGGCATGCCAAACAAAATAATTCATAAAACAATTATATTAATGGCAGTTAGTCTTGCAGTCCCATAAAAAAATAAAGAACACATACTAGTAAATAAAAGTCATATCATCACATTTTATGAAATGGTTGACATGACAGTTTACTTCCGTATTCTCACTAGATGATAGAAACATAAAATTTAGCATTTTACAGAATCTCTTTGATGAGCAAACGTTAATCAGAGTTAGCAAGCAGTTTCATTGCAAGAAAGACAGCATGCTTCATGTGACATTAACACAACCAGACCTCTGTCAAATTGGAAAAGCAATGATTTCTTACAGTGACAACGTAAAGTAAACAACTAGCATGAGATTTTCAAGTCTTGAAAAATGTCACCCTAAAACCATCAGTACACATATTGAGTGTAAAGACAACTCGATAAATCATCTAGACTTTTTGATAGCAACAATACTATTGACAACTTTCACAAACCTTTGGATATTGACAAAAATGAGTTAGAAGCAACAATCTAAAGTTGAACTTGAGAAAACACCAATCCACAATTCATTTTTACTCACAGTCGAGGAGGGATTGATAAAGCGCACCATCTTTGCCAAATTAATTTTATCTTCTTTGCTAGGATAACTTCCTTAAATTCAATTCAGGTCTACTCATTCCCAATCACCAATTCGTAGTAAAGTTCATGTTAACTGTTCCTATTACTCAAAATCAAGTTGCATCTAATATAATGATGCCACAATAACCACGGATTGGAATCTAATTTCAAGTAGCACATTAGCTAGATAATCAAGTGGTGTGTATGTTGTGTCACTTTTAAAATTTCAAATGCCGCTAAATTTTGTCTGCATTGCAATAAAAAGACCGAGCACATAAATAGAACAGCCCCAAGACCTTCTGACAGGGGAAGGGGAGTTTTTTTTTTTTTGGATAAATGACAGGGGAAGGGGAGTTTAACTATACCAATGGAATCATTCATTGAGAATGATGCAGAATTAACCTTACAAGTTACAATGCTATAACCATCAAATGAATGGCCATTTTAATCTTAAGTTATACACTTAAATTGCTTCCATCCATATAGTCCATATAACAGCAAAAGAATTGATTTTGTGAAGTCTTCTAAAAAATATTACCATATAACATGATAGACTGCAAAGATGAAGAAACATAAAGCATTTAACTCACATCTAACAATATAAAAGAAACACACCTTATCCTGCTAATGAAGGCAGCCAATCATTACAAAATGAATACATTTTCACAACAATTTCACCCTTCTACTTGCAGTAAATGGAGGTTGGAAAAAGAATAAAACAAATAAAATCATAGAGAGAATTAATGATTATCATAAAAAAAAAAATCAAGAAGCTGCTTTCCATTGATCGCACAAGCAAACCAGGCAACAGAGTATAGTCAACTGGTCACTACTTTACCATTTAACACAAATTCCCAGCCCGCAGTTATTTTAAAAAATAATTGACCAATAAAATAATTGATCAAATAGTATACATATCAACATCAAATTCAAGATAGACTGTGACAACCATCACCTCTGATTAGTGTTAATCTATGTTTTAGCATGATAAGTAATTGATCAGACTGAAATTCTGAACTGAATGCATGAGTGTATTGTTTTAAATGCCTTTCTATTTGTTTGATTGCCGAATGATCTGTTCATGTTTTAAGTTTCAGACTGCGAATCGAAGGCCTTATTGGCGACCGAATCAGAAATTGATTAGTGTTTTATGCTAATTAGAATTTATGTGATTTTATGGTAGGTTTAATTAAAATTTGATTTGGAATGATTAAATTAGATTAAATAATGTTAAATTACATTAGTTTGCAATTACTACCAAATTGCCATTGAGTGGATAATCCTAGGCTAACTCCTCCCCACTTCATACACATTTGACATATCACCTCTTCAGCCATTTTCTAGACCAAAAACGTGAGAGAGTAAGAGAGTTGGAAGAAAAATTGAGTTCATCTAGATTGGCTTGAAACTTGGGGGAATTGAAGGGAATTTGCAAAATTTAGCTTCCATACTTTGAATTCAAGACCTAAGGTAGGAGATTCATCCTTTCAATTATGAATTTAAGTTGTTACTTGCATGATTCATGAGAGATTGATGATTAGAGTCTAGAATTGGTTTAAAGTGCTGAGTTGAGAGTGAATTCATGCATGCATGTACATGTTCTTGAATTTGGAGTTGTTTTGCATGAAATCCTCACATGCATGTACATATCATGAAGTTCAAGGTTGTTTTCCATGAAATTCTTCCATGCATATCTAGATTATGGATGTAATCTAAGAATTCATCATGTTTTTGGAGTCTTGGCTCATTTGATCATGTGTTAGAAGCTTTGATTTCAAATAAACACATGCATGGCATATTTACATCTTGTTCTTGAATTTTGAGTTGAATTGGTGTTCAATTGGTTTTCTTTTGGGCTTTGATTTTATTAAATGATCTTCAAAACGTGTTGTATTATGAGTTTCCAAGTGTTTTTAGAAAATTGGCCCAAAAGGTTGAGTTTTGACATGTTTGATTCTTGGTTTTGTGCTTGGGGATCAATCTGAAAATTCCAGATTTTGGGTCCACGCTCAAGCAGAGGACTTCACGCTCGAGCGTATACTCTGAGTACATGCACTTCCGCTCGAGCGTATAAAGCCACGCTCGAGCGTGAAATGCATATGCCTAGAAGTTTATGTGTTTTGCAGTCCGCTCGAGCGAGAAAATTCACGTTCAAGCGAGGGTCTGAGTCTCACGCTCGAGCGGAGGTCGAGCGTCCGTCGAGCGTGAAAATCGGGCATCCAGTACTTTTTCATGAGTTTACAGTCCGCTCGAGCGAGGGAAGTCACGCTCGAGCGGAGCTCCTTTGCCTGCATGTCCACTCGAGCGTAGAAAGCCACGCTCGAGCGAGACCCCTGTTTCAGCAAATTTTGAAAAGTATTTTAAAGTGTAACTTTTGCATCCTCATTCCATCCTAGGCATTCCTAGGCCAAGTTTAAGGCATCTTAATAAGGATAATGTTATAAAACCACACCAAGTCAAGATTGGGGGCTAAGCTATTTATCCAAGTGTGTAACTTAGTGTGTGTGTTCGTTCTGCAACTGTATAGGGTAGGCACCCGAGAACGCTGACTAGCCTACCTGTAACCCAGTGCTCTGTGAGTAACAATGTTGTAAAGATATGTTCAATTATGATTATTTTCTGAATGATCAACTGTACTGCTTACTGAAATGTCTTTATTTAATGAATGAATGTTTGTCCTATTTGTAAACTGTACTCGTGGCATCATAGCAACCTACTGTTACTGCTACTGCTACTGCTACTGTGACAGAAATCTCTGTCGGTTCCAATGTTGGGACCACTACTGTTTACTGTTTGATGACCATCAACTGACTGTTCGGTCTGTTAAGACCTACTATGCTGTTTTGCTATTAGATGTACCACATATGACTATTATGGTTTCTGAATAACTATTATGGCATGAAATATGAGCCACTGATTGAGTAACTGTTTTACTGATACAATTGACTGTTTTAATTACTGAAAAGACATTCATTCTTAACCCCTTTACGCATATGTTATTCACTGGGCTTTACCTCACTGTTTATATTTATATGTGGGTGTCCAGGCACCGGACCGGAGCTAGGAGCGTCGGGTTAGCTTTTGTTTTGTCAAGCCAACCACTGTGCCTCACTTCGAGGTTCCAAATCTGTCAAGCCAAGACTTTTTTTGGGTGTCTCAGTTTCACCCTTCTGTCTCCGTTTGTAATGAATGTTTTAAGACTTGACTGAACAGTTATGGTGAATGGATTTGGTCCCTAACCAGGATGTTTGTGTATATAACGTATGTATATATGTTTTGGTTATGTATGTGAATATGTTTAGAAAAGTCTTTTTACATATAGAATGTCACAACTCATTGGACATCTTTCTTTTACTATTTGACTTCCACCAGCCCCTTACTCTATATTACTGTCATTTCTGTTTTAAACAGGCCTTTGGTAATCAGCGATTACTGGCCCGGTTGCGATGCTAAACCCATAGGGGCGGATTTGGGTCGTGACATTGACCACACCTAGAAAGTAAATCTTTACTTATTCTGGTCATGGACCTGTGAGAAAGACTAGATCACCTATCAGTTCATCTTAATTTATCATTCATTCCACTGTTTTCTCAACAACCAATTCAAATATAATAACAAGCCAACACTGAAGTTATTCAACAACTACAAAGAATCAACATTTAAGCATACAAAAACATAAAAATGAATTCAATAACAAAAAAATAGAACACTATCACTAACCTGTAAAGTAAAGAGCCTATCTTCAAACTGCATTTCTTTAGTCAAGAAATCAGCTCCAATTGTTGCCTTGTATTGATTGCTAAACTTCTTATTCACATATCTAAAAGCACGTATTCAAGGCAAACAACACCAAATCCATAGAAATAAAAATAAAATCTACTAAAACAATCTACGAAGGATACTGATTCATCAAAGAGGTCTTTCCGACCCTGCAATGCACAAACAAAACATGTAATTAGATCGAGTTCCAATTGAAGAAGTGGAAGAAAACTTTGAAGAGCTCTCCGATTGAATCTATACAGCAAAAGATCTAATTTATATATATACGTCTGGAAACCCTAGAATTGAAGATCGAAGGTAGCACATACACACAGGAGTATATATATATACAGTCGCGCATGTATAACTCACCCGCTGTCGCCCAGGATTATGACCTTGAGAAGCGTTCTTCTTCGGGAAGGCATCGTGAGGTTGCGAATCGGATTTGAGAGAAACTGATCTCTAGAGAGAGAGATTGGAGAGAGAAAGGTGTGATTGTGCAGTAGTAGTAGTAGGAGTCTAACCAATTTCCTTCAGCTCTTATCTCACTTGACTCTCTCTATACAATGCGCAGGAATGGCGCAACACGACAGTTCTGGGCATGTGAGAGTATATATAGGTATTTTCTACGGTGACGAACCGTTCTACATCCGTACTCGAGAGCTGTAATGCGTTCGAGTGGGACCGAGAAATTGGCCCATTAAAACAAAAAAAAAAAAAAAAAAAGAACAAGAAAAAAAAAAAAAAAGTAGTCGGTGATAAATTTATTTTTAAATTTTCTATACCATGCTTTAAAACACCATGACTCTATTTGTTTTGACAAACTGAATTAGCTTAGATTAACATTTTAATAATTAATAATTTTAAGATTATGAATTCTTTAAATTGTATATCATATTCTATATTTGTATTGAGTAAGAATTATAAGGAGGGATTTAAGAGGGTAATTTATATGTAAATTGGACCGAGCTAGGCAATGGGCTGTTCTTTAGGCCGTAATGAAGAGGCTTGGGAGATGGGCCACGGTCAAGTATTAGCTCGGTCCAAAATAAGGCTCTTGCTGCCAGACTAAGTAAAAAGGCTTGGTAATTAGTCTGGTCCTAAAAAGAGCAACGGTTAGTTCGGTCACCACGATTAGAAGAAGTTAGTTCGGTTACGCCATTCGGAGCTGAGATACAGCGACTTCGCATGGTAAGCCTAGCTTTTGGTCAGCCCGGTCCAAGCTTGCTACGGTTAGCTCGGTCTCAATAAGTAAAATCGGGGTACAAGCTGTGAAGAGAGAGCCGAGCTAACTAGAGTTCGGTCGTTTTGGCCCATTTAGCATGGCTTTGTTATCTCGGTCGTTTTGCCATACTACCGGTTTGAAACCATCTCACTTGGTTTAATCAGTGAGGGGGTGTTGAAGGATAAGTATTATCTTTCAGGAGTATGACTCCTAGGAGGACTCTACACGGACAAGTAAAAGTCCTACTAGGATTGTGCCACGCGGAACCTATAAAAGCTCACAACATCACCTATGGAGAAGTAACACACAACTTTGATTCTCAAATACACAACTTTTTCTATTTTGCTGACTTAGGCATCAGAGAGGTATCCGACACACACCCGCCGGCTAGCTCACGTTTGTATTTTCAGGGAATAAAGCGACGACGTACGGAGGAGCGCTGACTTGATCAACAGGATTATACGGGAAGAATATTTCGTGCCCGTACAATTGGTGCCGTCTGTAGAAAAATCAGACTAGAACAAAACCTCTTGATCAAGCTGTTCCTCTTTAGAAACAATGGCGCACAACGAAGATTTGCCGCAGTCCGCCATCGACGGACAGACACTAGAGGGGGGTGCAAGGCGCGAAGGCCTACCTTCTATCCCTCCCATGGCGGACTTGGAGCCTCAACGACAAAATCCCAGGAGGGATGCAAGGGGAAGGAGGCGGACTAACAGCCCCCGTCACTCTCGTTCACGAAATCCTGATAGACAAAGGCGGAGGATTGATCCTCAAGTTCTGGAGGACCGCGTGAAGGAGCAAGATGAATTAATAAGGAAGATGGCGGCGGACATGGAGGCCATGAAGCGCCAGATCAAGGAAAAAGGGGTGGCGACAGGAGAGGGGCGCAAAGGCAATGCGCCTCCTCGCTACTCAGAAGATCGTAGTAGGCATACCACGACATCGCAAGCAGAAAGTGGAAGCCTCAAGACGAGCGACACTCAATCAAGGACTTCCAGAACTCGTTACTCCAGGTCTGAGAGAACGAGATCATTAAGGTCTTACACAGAGGGAAGTACCTATCGGCCCTCACACACGCACCATACATCATCCAGGCAAACAAAGTTGCCTAGATCGTCCGACTTACGGACTGTGCTTGAAGAAAGGGAGCGACAGAAGGAGGATGCTAGAGCACGCGACCCACACAGAGTTTCAGCTCTTCGGCGGTTGGCTCCTCGGACGCATGGAAGCGTTGAGGTTGGAATGTCAGCACCACACCTTGCCTACGAACCAACAGATAAAGCAGTGGCAAGACTACATAGCTCGCCGTTTGTTCCGGTGATTAAGAACGCATCATTACCCTCAGGCTTCATCCAGCCTAAATTTACCACGTACGAAGGGAAGACAGACCCTTACATGCACCTAAGCCACTTCTGCCAGGTTATGGCGGTATATCGACGAAACGAGACTTTGATGTGCATCCTCTTCCCATCAAGCCTTGGTGACCTAGGCTTGACTTGGTTCGAAAAACTTCCAGAAGGCAGCATAGCCTCCTGGGCGCAATTGGCGGAGGCGTTCATAACAAGGTTCAAAACGAACACCAAAACCCTGGTGGAAATTGATCAACTGCTCTCCATCGACATGAGCAAAAAAGAGTCATTAAAATCCTACAATAGCCGCTATTGGGAGACCTTCAACCAGATTGGGGACTACCCCACCAATCTCGCCATCGCACAGTACAAAAGAGGCCTTCTAGTCGGGAACAGACTAAGGGACTCAATCACTATGACACCACCTCTCACGATGGAGGCCTTAATGGAGAGAGTACACCAACACATTCGGGTAGAAGAAAATGGCGCCCGTGCCAAGGCAAAGTCTAGCACGACCGCAGTACTAGATAAAAAAACCGCGACAAAGGTCAACGCGGTAGAACGTCCGAACAAAAACGGACGCGGCAGGCAAGACAACGGTGAGGACCAAGATAAAAGATGGTTGAGAGTCCACACTGCCATAACCACGGTATTCAAGAAACCGATCTATTGGATTTTAAGCGAAATACGCGATGAGCCTTTCGTCAGATGGCCAACTAAGCTAGGAGAAGCACAAAAAGACTACGACGAAAGATCATAATGTACCTTCCACAAAGAAAAGGGACACCGCACTGAAAATTGTATGCCATTGAGACAACATCTTGAGGAGTTGGTGGCAGCCGGTTACCTGGATAAATACATTGAAGGAGGGACGCAACCAGCTCCCCAGGACCACAATAACCCCAATGGAATGCCAATTGATGCCCCACCTCAAGGTGTGATCAATGTGATACACTAAGTATTCGAACCTGAGCGCGTATGCGAGCTCAGGGGCATGATAAAGAAGGCTGAGCACTTAAGAGAGGTACTAAGTGCCCAACCTACCATCAAAAAGGAGAGAACAGAGGCCACAAATGTCATGTCTTTTTCAGACAAAGACTTTGAGAGAATATATTGCCCTCACAACGATGCACTGGTCGTCACCCTCCGCGTCAAGGACTATGACGTCAAGTGAATTCTGATAGACCAGGGTAGCTCGTGTGAGATAATGTACTACGACACCTTCAAACAACTGAAATTGGAGGACAAAGACTTGGCACCAGCTGTATCCCCCCTGATCGAATTCAACTCAATGCCAAAATGGCCAGTCGGCAAGATCATCCTTCCAGTCAGGGCAGGAAGCATGACAAAACAAGTGGAGTTTTCGGTGTTAAAGGCCCCTTCCACTTACAACAAAATCTTGGGAAGAACATGGTTGCATGCCATGCGATCTGTAGCGTCATCCTACCATCAAGTAATGCGGTTCCCCAACGAAGTCGGGATAATTGAAGAGGTCTTTGGAGACCAGATTATGTCCAAGCAATGCTTTGTCACGGTTAATGGCAGCCGCGCTGTGAAGGGATACGTTCATTCGGTGGAAGAACCTGAGAGCAATGAACTGTTCGCAGATGTCGGCAAAGCAGCTGATCAAAAAGCGGTGGAAGACTTGGTAGAGGTAAGAATAGATGAAAAGAACCCAGATAAGTTCTTTTTGCCCGGTTCGTCGTTGTCCAACACTGAGAGATTAGAGGTCTTGGAATTCTTGACCTCTAACATCGAAGTGTTCGCTTGGACACCCTACGACATGCCAAGCATTGATCCAAACTACATCTATCACCAACTCAATGTCCACCCATCCGCCAGACCAATCATTCAGTGCACTCGCAGATCGGCACTCTACCACGCCGAGATAGTGGCGGAAGAAGTGGGAAATCTGCTAGACGTAGGAGCTATCAGAGAGGTGTACTACCCCAGATGGATTTCCAACACAGTCGTGGTGCCAAAGAAGAATGGCAAATGGCGTGTCTGCGTCGACTATAAGACAGTCAACAAAGTATGCCCAAAGGACTGCTTCCCCCTACCACGGATAGATTAATTGGTAGACCTAACGGCGGGGCACAACCGACTTAGCTTTCTGGATATGTACAGAGGCTACCATCAGATCGCCATGTACGAACCAAACCAAGAGGTCACGTCCTTTACAACTCCAAGAGGACTGTATTGCTACAAGGTCATGCCCTTTGGCCTAAAGAATGTAGGGGCAACATTCCAACGGATGGTCACCAAGATGTTTGAACCATTGTTAGGAAAAACAATGGAAGCTTACATCGACGACATGGTGGTCAAGAGCAAGGATAAGAATGACCATCTAAGGGACCTAGGTGAGATGTTCCAGATTCTAAAGAAACACAAGTTGCGCCTTAATGTATCTAAGTGCGTGTTCGGTGTAGGATCTGGCGAATTCCTGGGCTTCCTGGTGACCAACCGGGGTATAGAGGCAGACCCCTCCCAGATCAAAGCTATTCAGGATTTGGAGAGGCCCAACTCAGTAAAAGAAGTACAGCATCTCACCGGCATTGCTGCTGCACTCAACCGATTCATTAGCCGGTCGTCAAACAGACTACGATCATTTTTCAAGCATTAAAAGCTAAGTTCGAGTGGGACAAAGAATGCGACTGCGCTCTGGAAAGCTTGAAAGAATACATATCTTCTCCACCACTACTGGTGACCCCAATACCTGGAGAAGAACTCTTCCTGTACCTGGCAGTCTCTCAGCACACAATTAGCGCAGTGTTGGTTTGTGCGGAAGGAATCCAACATCTGCCCATCTATTATGTCAGCAAGACATTGCTGGGTGCCGAAATAAGGTACTTGCCACTGGAAAAACTGGCATTGGCCGTGATGATGGCCTCAAGAAAGTTATCGCACTACTTTCACGTCTACACCATAGTCGTCCTCACAGCTTTCCCATTAAAAGCTTTGTTTGAGAGGGCGAACTTTTCTGGGCGAATCTTGAAGTGGGCAGTAGAGTTGGGACAATTTGA